CATGCTCTGTCTCTCTCTGTCCCAAAAATAAATTAAAAAAAAAACGTGGAAAAGTTCTGGACTTAGAGAGTGGTATTGGTTGTGCAATCTTGTGAACATACTAATAACCACTGAATTGTATACTTAAAAAGGTTGGATTTTATGGCATATGAATTATAGCTCAATAAAAAATTACATAGAATAAACAACAAATTTAGGGGAGCCTTTATTCCTGAGGGATTACAGTTGTGGAGGAACACGAGGCCTTCAGCTATATTAGCAATGTTTTACTTCATAAGCTGGGGGGTGGGAATACGGGTGTTTGTTATACTAATCTGTATATCCTTCTTAATGTTTCATCATAAATAAAATTTAGAAGTATTTACTGAGTGTCGACCTGGACCAGGGCTACCTGGGTGGTTTAATGGTGGGTAAAATCAGATCCCATCCTGCCCAAAAGTAAGTGGGTAAGGATAAGCAGTAAGTGGAAAAGAAGGGCTGTAAGTAAGTCATCTCTCCTTTCTGGGCTTCTGTTTTCTCATGGATTATTTTATTTTAAATGTTTATTTGAGAAAGAGAGAGACAGAGAGAGAATGAGCTGAGGAGGGGCAGAGAGAGGTAGGGATAAAGTATCCGAAGCAGGCTCTGAGTTGACAGCAGAGAGCCTGATTCAGGACTCGAAATTACAAACCACGAGATCATGGTATCAGCTGAAGTTGGCCACTCAATAGATTAAACCACCCAGGAGCCCCTATTTTATTTTATTTTTAAAGTAATCTCTGGGGGCCTGGGTGGCTCAGTTGGTTGAGCGACTGCTTCAGCTCAGGTCATGATCTCACAGTTCGTGGGTTTGAGCCCCATGTCAGGCTCTGTGCTGACAGCTCAGAGCCTGAAGCCTGCTTCGGAGTCTGTGTCTCCCCCATCTCCCTGTTCCTCCCCTGCTCGTTCTCTGTCTCTGTCTCCCCAAAATAAATAAATGTTAAAAAAATTTTTTTTAAGTAATCTCTACACCCAACTTGGGGCTTGAACTTACAACCCTGAGATCCCGAGTCACGTGCTCTACTGACTGAGCCAGCAGGGCACCCCTCCTCATGGATGAAATGACAGCTGGACTAGAATCTTGTTAGTAGAAAGTCTCTGAGGGTCCTGGGGGCTGAGGAGTGTCTCTCCCCTTTATCAGACCACAGTTTCAAGAACTGCTTATGCACGATGAGAGCACAGGCCTGGAGTCAGCCCTGGTGTCATCAATCACTGCAAGTGGGCCTAATGCAAAGCCCAGCTGAGTCTCTAGTTCTTCTTGGTAAAAGAGGGACAGTAACTTCTCCCTCTCGGGATTACCATGGGGTGTAAATGAGATAACACATATAACGTGTCCAGGACAGGCCTGGCACACAGTAAATCCTCAACACATGGGAGAGTCCTCACTTTGATTCCACAGGCATTTCCTGAGCAGCACTGCTGGGCCAGGTCTGTACTAGGGCTAAAAGACAGAGGAATTCCACCGAATGGCCAAGCAATGGCCCCCCGCCAGGTGGGGAGACAGCCCCTTAAACAACAATACCAGGCAGGGTGATGTCATTGCTAAAAAGAGACAGCAGCCACGCACGCACAGAGCAGACCATGTGCAACGCAGACCCCAGGACAGGCAGAGATGTCCCAATCGAGAGGCCTAGTACGGGCTTGGAGAGAGGCCCTCACCGTGGGAAAGACACATACCAACTGAAGGCACTGGCCTCCATTCACACTGCAGTGCAGCCTTCCTAGTGTCTTTTCAGTGAATTCAGACTCAACTGTTCCCACAAATCCCAAGAGCAGAGACTGCAATAGATTCAAAAGTCAGCTTTAGGAAGCCTGTGCACATGTGGGAGCACAGTGGCTAACCGTGGGAGGCTGCATGATCTCTGGCAAGTCAGGGCACATAAAAAGTGATATAACTGTAAAGCCATTAACCAAATACCTGGCAATTGGTGAACAGATTAATAAAGATTAATTATAGTTAGGGAAAAAAAATAGATTCCATTTTCAAAGTGAGGGTAGTGGGATTCAGAGAAGTGAGAAGGCTTGCCCATAGTTACACTGCTAGCTTTGGAGGCAGGATTTGAACTCAGGTCTGACACATCAAAGGCTCAGTGCCTCATAATCTCCCTCTGTTACAGAATCTTCAGGAGGCTCTCTGTAGTCCACTAAATGGAATCTAACCTTGCTGTGGAGAGGGGAACTAACAAAGGTTTGGGGCCAGAGAGACCTCAGGCAAGTTCCCCAATCCTGGGTTCCTTGATCTGGGACCCCTGAGTGGGCTTAGGGAGGTTTGTGAATTCCTCCACACGGTGTGCCAAAAGATTGTGTCTAATGGAGATTCTCAAAGGAGAATTTTCAAAGGCTTGTTACCTCAAAAGTAACAAGCCACTGACTTGGCCTCACTTGGCATGTTTTCTTACCTACCCAAAGGAGATACAGTACCTACGTTGAAAAGCTGTGAGGGCATTAAATGAAGTAGTTTATGAAAAGTACCCAAAACATCCTAAGCTTCCACCTATGTTGGTTTCCCTGCCTTTCTCCCTCCCCAGCTTATTTCTATCATTTAGCAAACGATATTGACGATCTACTATGGAGCAGATATCACTCCAGGTGCTGGTGGTAAAGTGGTGAACAGGACAGATATTGTCCCTGTTCTTATGGAACTCACATGGTGGAGAGAAACAGACAAAATTAGTAATTTCAGATACTAGTAAGAGCTGTGAAAAAAATATATATACTGATGGGGTGGGAATGGCATCTGAGGAGGAAACATGTGAATGACAAGAAGTCAGTTATGCCAAGATTTAGGGGCAAAGCCTCAGGGCAAAGGGAGCACAAAGACAAAGCCTCACTTGTAAGATGCTTGGTCAAGAGCCCCTCACACTCCCACACCTTACTCCCTGCACCACAAACTAGGACCCCTTGAACAAGTCACATAACTTCTAAGACTCAGCTGCCACATCTACAAAATGGGAAGAAAGACACCTTACCTGCCACAATGTGAGGGGACTCAGTCAGAGGGCTGTTAAGGTCTGGGATCTTCCCCAAGTCTCACCAATAGACACCTGATACACGTCATTTGGCACCCATCTTGGAGGAGGGGAACCTGCAGAGAACCCTGGGTGATGATTTTTTATTTTAATTTCATGCTGCACTAGAAATAGTTTCCTTTGTTCCTGGTGAACATGATGGACTTTTCCTGACACCCAGGGCCTTTTATAGTAACTGCTGCTTCGGGCTCTTCCTCAGGTATAAAAGCAGACAAAGGAAGGACATCATGGAAACACTGTCCTGCCCATAACCAGACCACCTGTCCCTTCCCTCCCCCCAAGAAGATTGGAGGACTCAGCCTGTCCTGCAGACAGAGGGTGTACAAGCTTTATTTAAGGAGGTGGAAACATCCTGGCCCCTGGGTTGGGCCACCGATTTATAATTAGTTGTAGTTCTCCCTCCTAAATGTCTCTTTAACCTGTCCCCTTCTCTCCATCTCCTCATTGCCGCGCACCTTAACTCCCTCTGAGCATGCTTTCTGGCCTTAGTCTCCCCACTTCCAAACCATTTGCCACACTGTAGCCAGCACCTAACAAAAAATCGACCAGGTCTTTCCCCTGCTTAAAACCCTTAGGCAGCTTGGGGTGCCTGGATGGCACAGTCGGTTAAGCGTCTGACTTCGGCTCAGGTCATGATCTCACGGTCTGTAAGTTCAAGCCCCACATCGGGCTCTGTGCTGACAGCTCAGAGCCTGGAGCCTGCTTCAGATTCTGTGTTTCCCTCTCTCTCTGCCCCCTCCCCTGCTCACGCTCTGTCTCTCTCAAAAATAAATTAACATTACAAAAAAAATTTTTTAAATCCTTAGCTCCCCATCATTCACTGGAAAAATGCCAAATTTCTTAACCTGGCATCCAAGGCTCCCTCGCCAAGAATGAGCTCCTAACAGCCTGATCAACTCCCAGGCCCTCCTCAGTATCTATATCAAACTCCTCAATGTCTCTAAAATGAGCCTAGCCACACTTTGAATTATTTGCCTTTGCGGTTTCTGTTCCTGCTACTTGCAACACTGTCCCCATTCCTGCCTCTTAACTCCACCCTTACTTCTTTCACTGCTTACACATTCCTACCTAGCCCTCCAGACTCCAAAGCCCTCCCTGATTCCCCAGAAAAGCACTGTGTACCGGTCTACCTTCTTAATCAGATGTGAAAGCTGGGGTTCTCTCTTAGTTACTGTTAACTTCCCAGAGCTTGGACTGATCAGTTCAGGTTACTTTAACTTAAAAATTCATATCAGGTGCTTCACATTGAGAAGATCCTATCACAATCCGGAAAGAAGGAACAGTTAAAGAACTGGAGGGCTGCCAAAAGGTAAGATAAGAATAGGGATCAAGAATCTGCATTCTCAAAAAGTGCCCCAGATCCTGATGCAAATGATATTGGGCATTTTGATATACAATGCGTCACCCTCCAACGTTCCCAAGTTAAAAATTGCTGGAAAAATGAAAATACTTTCCTTTACCTCTACAGCTTTTCGGCAGCTGTCCCGAGGTTAGAGAAATCAGGTGGGCTTTTATGGGACTCAGCTGGGTGTAAAACAGAACCCTGGGTTCCAACACTGGCTCGACCCCTAACGTGCTAAGGTACCCTGCGCTGGGGTCTCTGTCCCTTTTCTGGGCCTCCCTTATCACACCTACCCCCACCATGTGTCCCTGAGGCAGTGACTGCCCCATTCTGGGTATCAGTTTCCTCATCTTACATTGGACGTCACCAGATCTGACATCCCACTAGCTCTGCAAACCCGTAACTCCTCACTGACCCAGCCTAACTCCTCCCCTCCTTCCCAAGTCCTCTCTCTGGATCCAACCGAGGAACCCTTAACGCCAAGGCTGCTCACGTACGGACTGACCCTTCCCGGTCGCCGTCCAGCTCCACAGGCACGTCTCCGCCCCCGCCCTGCCCTTTATACCCCCACTGGCGCGGTCTGCGCAAACGCGTTGGGTCGCATCGAGGCCCCGCCCCCTAGACCTTGGGTTACAGAGCGAGGGGCTTGAGTACCGTGCGCGGCAGGACGACGAACCAGTAGGTTGGGGAAAGGCAACGGCGGCCGGCAAGGGCCAAGCTTCTTCGGGAGGATGTGAGGGAGGGTTCTGGCCAGCTATTGGAATCCTGAAGGCTAGGAGATGTTGCAGCTCATGCCCTTTGCAGGGAAGGGGAAACTGGTGACCATTGAGGGGGTTGGGCTGGTGATTGTGGATCCCAGATCTCCCAGATCTCCTGATTCCAGATCGGGCCGGTGTCGGGGACACCGTGCCAGTGAGCCAGAGCCGCAATTAAAAAAAGAAAGAAACTGGGAGCGATTAGAACCAAACTTTGTCTAGAATGGGAGTGAACGGGCCCATGAAGTTGGGCAAGCCTGGGCAGGAGACGGGTGTTTATACCCCGAGCCTCATGCAGACACTGGCCTCGCCCTCAGGATAAAGTCCGACTGGGTTTTCTTGTGGGCATTTTAAGATCTGGCCCCAGTCTTTCATTCATCATCCATTCATTTAACATTCATTGAATACAGTAGTAGGTGCTGGAGGTAGAGAAGTGACCAAGATACACAACAATTCCTATGGTACAGGGGCAACTAATGGGCTGTAGAAGCCCTGGGCGGAGAACAGGGACAGCTTCTGAAACACACACGTGAACGCTGGTCAGGAGTGGTGGGGAGTGTTCCAAAAAGAGACTACAGCACGTGCCAAGCCTGGGAGCTGGAGAGAGGCTTGTGTATCTTGGTTACTGGGGATAACCTCACTCTTGAGTCTGTTTAGCGCCCAGGGAGATGATGGTAGCTGGAACAGGCATCTGACAGTGGAGGTGGAGACAAATAGAGGAATTCAAAGCAATCTATATTTAATAAAAACTACAGGATTTGGGGAGACTGGGGTGTTGGAGAGAAGTGTGTACAAGGCTTGAGTGCCTGAGTGGGGTTCATCAGAGGAGGAGCAGATTTGTGGGGAGACGACAAATTCTATTCTGGTTCTGTGGAGACTCCCAGTAAGCAGTTGGTTATTACAGTTTGGAAGTCAGGAAAGCACCACTGTGAAAGTATAGATTTGAATGTCCTCAGCAAAACAAACAAAGCCACAGGGTTGAGACTATAGAATGAGAAAAACAAAGGGCCCAATCAGCACTTTACATAGTGATTATCTTTATGTTTTATCTCTTTGTATCCTCAGTACCTAGTCAAGGGCGTGGCAGTAGATGCCATTCAGTGTTTACCAAGTAGACAAAAGCCCAACCGCAGGCAGAGATGCTGGAATCCCAGAGATGTTAAGAGATGGGGGCTAATGGAGGGTTCCATTGCTCTAATGTCAGTCATAGGTTCTTGTCCTGGCTCTGCCACCAGCCTGCTGTGTGACCTCCTGACAAGTCTTCCACCAGTAAAGTGGGTATAGCCAAAAAGAAGCTCCCATGTATAGAGCTACAAACCCTGCTGAGGAACTACACACAGATTTTTCTCATTTAATTCACATGGGGACCTTATTTATGAAGGAAGTAATATTATGGGCTCAAACCCATATCTGACTGACCCCAGGGCTCTACTATGACTATAGTCGTAGAGCCCTTATCTGTGTCTCATTGGACAGAAATGTTGTTAGGATCCTCTTGAAATTACATGGTCATTCTTTGAAAACGTTGTGCTGAGGCCAACAGACTTTCATAATTGGTTTCGCACCAATTTTGTTATAAGGGGAAGGAGATGGAACTGAATGTTGTTCTCTAGTTTGTTACTTGTTCTCTAGCTCCCTTTCTGGGGACAACTGAGCTGGGTAGCCATGTTCTTTTCCTAAAATCAAATGACAGTAGGGCAAACCAAAATTAATAACTGGTGTTTCCAGATTTTTATTCAGATCTTCTTAAATCCCTGAGGCCTGCTGCAAAATTAGTATCAAGGTGTTAATTGGTTCATATCTGTGTGTCTCTGGGCAGCCAGTTGGACTCCTCATCCTATTACATTGGGCACTTGGGTTTCAGTTATTTCTATTCTGCTAATGTGATTTCTCAAAAATATTTTGTCTTGCTGCTGTGATGATAGATGTCCATATAGGGAATGTAATCATGTCCTGCTAATGAGCTTGCTTCTGCTTAGTGTGAGGGAGGAGTTCACCTTATCTGCATTTCATAGTATTCTACAAAGGGATCCTCCTACCCCCACCCCCCACATAATTTGAGATTTGCTGACCTGGGTTGTTGGAGCTAGAAGGGGAATTAATACTCTCTTGCAGTGATTTTAAATTTGTTAAAAATACAGAGCTTTAGCCCTTCCCTCCACTCATCAGACCTCTTGCATGAGAATCTCTGAGTGGAGCCCAGGAATCTGTATTCTTTACCAGGCTCCCCAGAATATTTAGCCAGATTTGGAAACCACTGGTCTACCTCATACCCCTTGTTTCACAGGTAGAGAATCTGCAACTCTGTGAGGGGAAGGAACTTGCCCCAATCACATATGACATTAGTGCCTCTTTCTCCAATGTAAAAGGCCTGGGCTGGGAGTCCTGAGACCTGGGTTCAAATCCAGGTTTTACCAGTCTGAGATTCCACTTCCTTACTGTAAGAATAATGCCATCATTGTATTAGGAACCAAGAGAGTGGCAGTGGAAATGCTTTGTCAGGCTTTCCATTTTGCACTCATGGAAGTTGAGAGCTGCCCTCCAGTGTTCACTCCCCTGTACCACACTGCCAGTTTCATTGGTTTCTGGGTGGGCCCCAGGCAACCCATCACCAATCATTCCCCTCTCCTGTTGCAGGTTGGGATGGCCACCGGCTGGGGGAGCCTCTTGCAAGATGAGCAGCAGCTGGAGGAGCTGGCACGGCAGGCTGTGGACCGGGCCCTGGCTGAGGGAGTGCTGCTGAGGACCTTGCAGGAGCCCAGTTCCTCCGATGTAAGCCCCTGACCCCTCCTCACAAGCACTGACGACACTGCTCTGGATCCTAATGCTCACTTTCTGGTCCCTGCCAGGCTAAAAGCAGCTCCTTTAGGTCGAGACATCTTTTTTGCTTTATTTTATCTTTGTCAATAACTAAAATTGATCTCTAGATATATGTAAAAAGCCTGCTGAGAGTAATCATAAAATTTAAGTCTGGGGTTTCTAGTATGACTTAGGTAAGTTACATAACCTCTCTCAGCTGCAGTTTCTTCATAGAATAAAAAAGGGATAATAATAGGACCTGCCTCTTCAAGTTGGTAAGAGAATGAGAAGATAATTCATGTGAAACACTTTGTCCAGTGAGCTATTATTTTTTAAGACTACCTAATCACACTGCAGAGGGGGAGTATATCTGTACAACTGGTCTGTGTACATCCTTCTCTGCATTTATATACATATATGTGTATATAAAGAAATATATGATTTTCTTTTAAGTTTTTTTTTAAATGTTTTTATTTTTGAGAGAGTATGAGTGGGGGAGGAGCAGAAAGAGAGGGCGACCCAGAATCTGAAGCAGGCTCCAGGCTCCAAGCCGTCAGCACAGAGCCCGACGGGGGACTCGAACTCACGAACTGTGAGATCATGACCTGAGCTGAAGTTGGACGCTTACCGACTGAGCCACCCAGGTGCCCCTTTTAAGTTTTTTTTTAAAGTAACCTCCACATCTAATGTGGGGCTCAAACCCATGACCCTCAGATCAAGAGTCACATGCTCTTCCAACTGAGCCAGCCAGGTGCCCCAAAATATATGGTTTTCTAAAACACAAATTGGATCACACAGATCATGCAGATTATTTTGTGATTGTGTTTTTGTTTTTCATTTAACAATCTGCGGTTGAACTCTTTACAACTCCCTCCATTAGGATTAGCTTCATTCTGATACAGTGTTCCATATATAGATGAATCACATTTTAACTTTCCTCTATTTAGGTGATTTTTAACGTGTTTTTTTAATGCCCTTTTTTTTTTTAAGTTTATTTATTTGAGAGAGAGAGAGAGAGAGCTTGAGCAGGGGTGGGGCAGAGAGAGGGGGAGAGAGAGAATCCCAGGCAGGCTCTGCATTGTCAGCGCAGAACCTGATGAGGGGCTTCAACCCATGAATGGTCAGATCATGACCTCAGTCGAAATCAAGACTTGGACACTTAACTGACTGAGCCACCCAGGTACCCCTGATTTCTAATGTTTTATGATTATAAACAGCATTATAGGGAACAGCTACATACACGCCTGTTTGGGTACTTCTGTAGGGTTGATGCTTTTAAAAGTAGAAATGCTAAGTCCAAACCACATTTTTTAAAAGTCTCATCCTAAAAAAAAAAAAAAAAGTTTTTATTTTGTGACTGGTAAGACATTGTCATAGTTCAAAATTCAAAGGACAAAGAGTTTAGAGTTTAACCCTCTCTTCTATATTCCCTAGCCATCCGGTTCTCCTGACCTGAAGACAAGCTGTGTTTTAGTGTTTTTGTTTATTCTTTCATATAGTTTACTATAGTTTACTCATAACAAAAAAAGTATATATTCCTTTTTCCCACTGTTTACACAAAGAAGCATCCTAGACAAACTCTTGTGCCTTGCTTTTTTCTTTTTACTTACTAGTATACCTTGTGACAATCCATATGAGTAACTAAAGAGCTGCCACCATCTTTTTTTTTTTTTACTAAGTTAAGGGCCTAGTGGAGAGTCCAGACTCATAAATATTTGCTGAGGCCTGAGTGAATGAGAATGGCTGTTACCTAAGGTAGGCTGACATTGTGGAAGGTCTGCCTCTGGCTTTGGGAATATAATTGCTTGCTTTGTGAACTTTACATTATGTGAACTGTTTGTCTGAACCCAGGATTAAGCATTTTCCCCTCCAAGACTTTTTTGTTCTATTAATCAATAGGTATTGTGTGAAGGTCCAACACTTGGTCTTTCTGGAAGTTAATGGAGCCTAGAAAAGGCATAGTCCTCAGTGAGATTCCCAATTCAGAGAAAAAAGACAGGAAATGGGGCACCTGGGTGGCTCAGTTAGGCGTCCGACTCTTGATTTTGGCTCAGCTTATGATCTCACTGTTGGGTTTGTGGATTGAAGGTCCATGTCAGGCTCTGCGCTGACAGTGTAGAGCCTGCTTGGAATTCTCTCTGTCTCTATCTCTCTCTGCCCTTCCACCACTCATGCTTGCTCTCTCTCTGTCTCAATAAATAAATAAATAAACATCAAAAAGAAAAAAGACAGGAAATATGTGTATGTGTATGGATGTGAGAAAGAGAAAGAGATTTCAGTCCAAATCTTTGTCAGGTGCCTGTTTTATGCCAGGCCATTCTAGGCACTGAGGACACAGGTGAGTCAGCCAGAGACTCTGGCCACTAAAGCACATGGTCTAGTTGGAGAATGTGCCACAAGACAAAATTAAATGTCAGTTCTATGAGGAAACATAGATAGCCTGCTGCACAATATTAGCTACTGTTTATTATTGACTATGTGCCAGGCACTATTCTAACAGCTTGAAATCACTAACTTGTTTAAATTTCACAACAGAGATGAGGAAACCAAGGCCCAGAAAGGTAAAGTAACTTGCCTGAGGTCATTCAAATGGTTGTGTAATTGGCAAAGCCAGAATTCAAACCCAAAGAGTTTGCCACCTGACTTCATGCTCTGAACTTCCATTCTTTACTGCCTCTCTCAGGAAACTGTATGGGACACCTAGATGAAGGAGCAACTCATCAGTTGTATTTGAACTAGATCTTAAAAAATAAATAGAAAAGAACAGCATAACAGAGGGTCTAAAATAGGAAAAGGCACAAAATGTTCAAGAGAATGCAGCTGAATATGGGACAGAAGACAGGTCGAAGTCAGATAATCAAGAGGCTTTGGATACTGGGAGGAAGAGGAACATGAACTTTATCCTGTAGGTAGGGGTGACAAACCAAGTGCAGAATTAATAGCTGGTTCCTGCAGATTTAGGGAGTTAATTAAAAAAAAAAAAAAACAACAACAACAAACATGAACAGGCTACAAAATTTAAAGGGAATTCAGTGTAGAATAAGTCTCCTCCCTCTAGCCACTGTTTCCTTCCCCAGAGACAAGCATTGTTAACAGTTTTTTCACCAGTGTCTTTAAATGTGAGGCCCAATGTTTGTTTGGGGTTTTTTTCATGAAATAAAAAAAATCTGGCCCCTCAGGTGAAATAGGAGCTCTTCTTCCCATCACTCTTTGTTTCTTTGACTATGAAGGAGATCTTTTATTGTCATGCACATGCTACCGTTTTTCTCAGAGTAGAAGACTCTTACTCTGTGCCTGTGTCTCCATAAAAAGTTAAAAGACTGTGTTTCAGCCTTTGGCCTATACACAGTGGAGAACAGCTGTATACTATGGATCCCAAATTCAAGTGGGCATAATGAGTCATGGGGACAGAGGCAGAGGGAAGTCTTACTAGGAAAAGCCTTTGGGAGTTTTTCAGGCCAAATGAGACTTGTTGGAAGAAGCAGAGTTCTAAGTTTTAAAGCCAAGGAATGCCCTTATTGTCATCACACATGCACTCAGGGTATTAGGTCACCCCCTATATAATCTGCAGTAATTCCCAGCCTAACACAGAAAAGCTTCAAGCTGAAAAAACCTTATTCTCACAAATATCCTTCCTCACTTTTGTCTTCTGAGATTTTGAGGAAGGTAATTTGGGAACTATCTATGAAAATTTTAAGTGGATTTACTCTAATTATCTGACATTTCCATTTTTATAAATTTATAATTTATGGACTTTTTCACACACAAAATACCTAGAATATATACTCTAGGATATTGATTGAAGCATTGATTGTAATGGGGTGGGGGGAGCAAACCACCTATATGTTCATAACAGAAAGCTAGATTCAGGGGTGCCTGGGTGGCTCAATCAGTTAAGTGTCCAACTCTTGGTTTTGGCTCAGGTCACAATTTAATGGTTCATGAGCTCAAGTCCCACATTGGGCTCTGTGCTGTTAGTGTGGAGCCTACTTGGGATTCCCTCTCTCTGGCCTTCCCCCACTTGTACTCTTTCTCTCTCTCTCTCTCTCTCTCTCAAAATAAACAAATAAACTTAAAAAAAAAAAAAAAGAAAACTTGAATTAATAATTTTATATCCAAAGAATGGAATACTCTACAGGCATTAAAAAGAATGAGATCTATTTGAACATATATGGAAATGTCTCTGAAATATTTATAAAGCAAAGGACAGAACAATATATGTACCATGTGCTTCTGTGTGTGTAAAAAAAGAAAAATGTATATATACATATAGTCTAAAGGACATGTGAGACACTAGTATACAATTTGCTTCTGGGGAGGAGAATTGGGTCATCAGGGAATGAGACATAACTTTTCACTATGTATCCTTCTGTCTCTTGAATTTTGTATCATTTGTTTGTATTATCTGTTCAAAAAATATTTTTAAATATATAAATGCCAAGTTCTAATGTCATAAACTCATACTATGATAATGGCAAATTGATATTAACTCAGAGGTTAAACTCAGGAATACATCATAATATAAGTCACAAGGTCATTTTATCATCTCCTACCCAAATTCTAGTTCATTTGTTGTTGTGAATCTCCAAATGCATTATCCCCTTCTAGAAATAGTGTTCCAGATGGGTATTTGGGTTTCCTGGTTCTGCCAAAGTCCAAAGAACTCAGAATGCAGCCTAACTCCAGGTCTGGCAACCTGAGTCACTGTCTCCAACACTGGGGAGAAACCACTCCTAACTTCTACTCTGGGGGTCAGAGATCACTTCTGATACAGCCCTACCAGCAGGACTCTCCCTCTGCCCCAACCAGAAGGCAAGGGGGCTGGGGTGGGAGCTCCTGGCACGAGGGTCCTGGGTTTAGGACCCTGGCTAGGAGCTGTGTGTGTGTGTGTGTGTGTGTGTGTGTGTGTGTGTGTGTGTGTGGTTTACTAACCACCTTGGTTCAAATCCCAGTGCCATGTAACAGCTTTATATAATTTTGGACATGTTAATTAATCTGAGACTCAATTCCCTTTATCTATTTATTAAGAATAGATAATAATAGGGGCGCCTGGGTGGCTCACTTGGTTGTGTCCAACTACGGCTCAGGTCATGATCTCACTCTTTGTGGGTTCAAGCCCTGCCATCAGGTTCTGTGCTGATAGCTCAGCTGGAGCCCGCTTCTGATTCTGTCTCCCTTTCTCTCTGCCCTTCCCCTGCTAGTGCTCTGTCTCTCAAAAATAAATAAAACATTAAAAAAAAGAACAGATAATAATAGTATCTGCCTCACAGAGTTAAATGACGCATCCATGTAAGGTATTTAAAACAGTGCCTTGTACACAGTAAGTGCTCAATTTTTTGTGGTTTTGTTTATTTGTTTTGGCTGTTTTGCTTTTTTTTTTTTTTAATGTAAAGAGATAAAATATTACAGAGTCTGAAAGTTCCCTTTATACCCCTTCATCATCCTGTTTTCTCCCTCCCTTCACAGAGGTAACCACTATTTGGCAGTTTGTGTGTCAATAAATGTAGGTTACACTTTTCATGGGGTTATGTTTACAAGAAAACAGCCCATTCACAGGTGTTCTACCCCTGCCCGCTCTTTCTCCTTGATCAGGTGGTAAGCTATGCCCCATTCACGCTCTTCCCTTCACTGGTCCCCAGTGCCCTGCTGGAGCAGGCCTATGCTGTGCAGATGGACTTTAACATGCTGGTGGATGCTGTCAGCCAGAATGCAGCCTTTCTGGAGCAGACTCTCTCCAGGTACTGGGTGATGGGGCAATAGGGGCCGGGAGTTGCTGGAACCCAAGGGACTGGAAGACTGAGGAGCCATGAGATGTTGCTCTGGCAGCTGACTTGGTGGGGTTGGGGACAGGTACCCCCCAGAAGAAACAAAAGTAGTAGAACAGAAGTCAAGAGGGCTGGCTTTTAATCCTGGCTCTAATCCTCATTTATATGGCTGCAAGCAAATTCCTTTCTTTCTCTGTGCCTCAATTTCATCTGTAATGTAGGGATGTTGGCGTAAATCTAAGATCTCTTCCAATCACATTCTGTGATTCTCTGATCCATGGCCCCTTGCTTTGATGACTGAGATTTCTATTCGGAATTAGGGAATGTCAGCATTGTTTTAGGGAAAACAAAGGGCAAAGGAGATTGCTGGGGTTAAAGTCAGATTTCTAACTTCTTTTCCTCAGCCCTCTTATCTCTGGGTGAGATGGGGGGGGTAGACTGGGCCCCACCCAGGGCATGAGGATACAGAACTCCTGAAATGGTTCACCCCATCCACCCCTCTGTCTCTTCTCCCTTAATCCTTTTTTTATCTTCAGGCCCTGGGACAAGGGAAATTTCTTTACTTTCAATTTTTTTTCTAATGTTTATTCTTTTTTGAGAGAGAGAGAGAAAGAGAGAGAGAGAGAGAGACAGAGTCTGAGTGGGGGAGGAGCACAGAGAGACACACACAGAACTCGAAGCAGGTTCCAGGCTCTAAGCTGTCAGCTCGAACTCATGACATGAGCCAAAGTTGGACACTCAACTGACTGAGCCACCCAGGCCCCTCTCTTTACTTTAGAATTAAATTCTTTATTTTTTAAAAAAAATTTTAATGTTTATTTTTGACAGAGAGAGATAGAGCATGAGTGAGGGAGGGGCAGAGAGAGAGGGAGACACAGATTCCGAAGCAGGCTCCAGGCTCTGAGCTGCCAGCACAGAGCCCGACGCGGGGCTCAGACTCACAGACCACGAGATCATGACCTGAGCTGAAGTCGGACGCTCAACCGACTGAGCCACGCAGGCGCCCCAAATTCTTTATTTTAGAATTAAATAAATAAATGTGTGTGTGTGTGTATACATAAACAGACTAGACATACATACTTGCATGTCTGATTAATTTTTCAAAAGAAAACAATTATTTTGTTAGAGACAAAAAATTTTTTTAAGATTTTATCTTTAAGTAATCTCTACACCCAACATGGGGCTTGAACTCAAAACCCCGAGACCAAGAGTCGCATGCTCCCCTGACTGAGCCAGCCAGCCACCCCAGAGATACAGTCTTTTAAAAATGTGCACATTGGTGTGAAGGTGAATATGGGAAGGGATCATAATGGTAAGAAATTTGGAAACCATCGACTTGAAACTAAAAATGCAATGAGTTATGAATGTACAAACCCTACCACCACCTTCCCCCCAGGTCTTTTTCGGGGTGGGCCTGGCTTTTGTACCTCTGATTCTGGATTGCAGAAATATGAGCAACCTGATTTATGACCTTTGCCCTAAAGATGCAATTATGTGGAGACCTTTCCTGCAGTCCATGTCTGCAACCTTGCCTTCCCTGTTTCTCTGTCCTCTGAAATACACACAAACCCTAGCTTGTACGGGAATAGAGCCCTAGTATCACATGTGCTAGAATAACAGCCTGGGACCTAGGTTGAAGGGGCACACCTCTTCAGTAAAGCAAAAATGTGTCTCAACTTTCTTGGAGGCTGAAGCCCAGCTGGGGACTCTCCTCACCAAGGGCTGGGAAAGGCCTCATGAAAGAGCTGGCTGGGGAACAGAGGAACTGCAGGGCAGGCCTGAGCTACATGGGCTCAGTGGGGTCCCTGTAACAAGTGAGGAAAGTGAGTTAGGCTTGAGCAGGGATGTAGAGACTGCCCTGAATCTTGACAGACAACAAGTGTGGTGTTAGTTACCTGTGGGTGCCTCTTCCACACTGGATGGACTCCTACTTCATATAACATGTCACAGCAGCACACTGGGCCATGATGATGAGCTACCACAGATAAAGTCTCTACCCTCATGTGGTTTATAGGCAAATAGGAGAGGTGACATTAATTATCACAGAAATAAAACAGAAACTTAAAACTAATCTGTACTATAAAGGAGAGGTCCACAGTGTTCTGAGAGCACATGGCAGGAGGATCTGATCCAGATAGGGAAGGTTGCCCTGAGGAATTCATATCATATGAGGACTGGCTGAAGAAAAACAAAAAGGATATTTAGCTTGAGTCAGAAGAATGCTTTGGTGCACAGAGCATAACTGCTGTCTTTTAATCTCTGAGAGTTGCTGTATAAGAGGTGGAAAAGACTTGTCCTTGGAAGTCCCAGAGTGTAGGAGAAGCTACGGAGAGTTAATGTTATGTCGACCAGAAGGTTTACCAACCATCAGAGATATTCAAAGATGGAATGGTTTTATCACATGACATTTCTTAGTTTCTCTCAGGACCAGACACTATGCTCAGTTCTGTACATATCTCATTTACCCTTCACCACAACTCTATGATAGAAGTAAAATTATTTTCCTCTTCATCTTTCATTTTTATCTTTTACAGATGAGCAAACTGAGACACACAGTGAAATAATTCTCTAAGGTTGCCTAGTGGTGAGTGGTAGAGCTGGGATTTGAACCCAGGTTATCTGGCTCTAGACCTGAGTTCTAAACCACTATTGTCTATCAGGTTGATGTGGCTGTTCAAGTTTGGGTCAGCAGACTGAAAGATTCAGGAGGCAATGGATGAGGGTAGAACTATTTGATCTTTAAGATCCCATTTAGCGGGGCGCCTGGGTGGCACAGTCGGTTAAGCGTCCGACTTCAGCCAGGTCACGATCTCGCGGTCTGTGAGTTCGAGCCCCGCGTCGGGCTCTGGGCTGATGGCTCAGAGCCTGGAGCCTGTTTCCGATTCTGTGTCTCCCTCTCTCTCTGCCCCTCCCCCGTTCATGCTCTGTCTCTCTCTGTCCCAAAAATAAATAAATGTTGAAAAAAAAAATTAAAAAAAAAAAAAAGATCCCATTTAGTCTAGAAAATGCTCTATTTCCTCCTCCAGCACCATCAAAAGGGACAACTTCACTGCTCGCCTCTTTAACATCTACAAGCAAGTCCTGAAAGAAGGCATTGCTCAGGTAACCAGTCCCCACTCCACCCCAATCTAGGACCTGTCCCTCCCTTTTTTTTTTACCAGAAGAAATTGGCCCAGGCCCTGAGCTCATGGAAATCTGCCTCTTGTTGGTCTCCACTAGGTTTGTACATCAGTGACCAATCCTGGGATGACCAAAAGAATGATTACACTAGGTTTTGGAGCATTAGCCTGGAACTCTGATCTCTATGTAGAATTCATGTTACCTGTCTGTTCTGTGGCTAGGCCCTCAATCAGCCCTGGGCAAATGTACTCAGCCTTCAGTTTTCCCCACAGACTGTGTTCCTGGGCCTGAACCGCTCAGACTACATGTTCCAGCGCAATGCAGATGGCTCCCCAGTCCTGAAACAGATTGAAATCAACACCATCTCTGCCAGCTTTGGGGGCCTGGCCTCCCGTACCCCAGCTGTGCACCGGTGGGTCCCCTGGGCAACACTGGGCACACTGGTGGGGTGAAAGCCTAATAGGCCTACAGTCACAGGCAGGAACAGGGATCTCCAATTCCAAGTATTTCTTCCCAGGCCCTGGGTCATGTGTTTCTCCTGTAGCAGTTTCCACTTGTAAGTAGGTCTTAGTATGTCAAGGAGAGAAGGGACCTCACTGTTCATCTAGTCTTGATCCCTCATTGTATAAAGTAGTATTCCAGCTTGAAGAAACAGTACCTGAGTGAGAAAGAGCTTGGAAGGCCTGAAGAGAGGTCAGAATCCATGGCAGAGAGGGATCAGTAGCTTCCCATTGAAAGGCTTGACCCTAGTAGCAACCATTTCCAGCCAGCAGTGACGCTCCAGGTTGCTGTGATTACAGATGGTTGGCAGCAGGATTCCAGATAGCAAGCACTGGTGCTCAGGGAAAGGCGTTCCAGATCATAGGGAGGCTGGTATAGAGTAGAAACACAGGGTCTTGGGGCTCTGGGCATATACACGGAGCCAGGGTTTGGGTGGCCCCGTATATTCAGGCCTGAGAAGCATGATGATAAGATGCTTTTTAGTGTTCAGCTAATTCTCCAAGTGATGTTCCTGTAAGGATCTGTGAGTCACAGGCAGAGAGGGGTCTTCTAGATCCATCCAATTACTGAATAAGACATCTCTTCCAACAGACATGTTCTCAATGTCCTGAGTAAGACCAAAGAAGCTGCCAAGATCCTCTCCAATAATCCCAGCAAGGGACTGGCCCAGGGGATCACCAAGGCCTGGGAGCTCTACGGCTCAGCCAAGTAAGGGGGAGAAAGAATGGTAGAATCCTGCTTTAGATTCAGCATTCGTGGGTGCAGTGCAAAGCAACTTCTTCGCCTGACATCTTTAGGAAATGAGGGATTTTTTTTCCTGGAAATAGAAGCTTACACTTTCAAGTACCAGACTTTAAGGGGTTTCTGGGCTTCCTTCTTAAATAAGAGACACAGACTATAATTTAATCTTGTTGGCTAGAGGTCACAATTATCTGTTAATGATTGCATTACTGTTAGTGATTGTATCTTGATGTAATACAGAGGTGCTATCTAGACTTAGAGAGGCATGTGAGGCTGTCTGCCTGCATTAATGGACCCAACTGTTAGGCTTTAAGTTCTTATTCCTTTTCTTCCCAGTTTCCCTGTCTCCCTACTATCAGTTCTTACTTCCTACTGCTGTCAGTGTGCTTTAATTTGGAATCCTCCATTCCCATCCCTGTACCTCCTTTCTGATTTGCTATGGTTTGGGAAAGCAAGTGGTCTGGGTTGTCATGTACCATCTAATGAGTGTGAGGGCCTCTTTGATAAGTAAATGCATAAGCTTTGACTTAGTGATTTTGTGGTGTCTGTTGTAACTGCCTAGAGGCATTTTTTGCTTCCTTCCTATTTTCAACCATGTTCCAGATGTGTAAAGATGCCAGGTAAGTGACTTCTGTATATATAGGGGGCGGCACTGTACCAATAGTTACTGCAATGTTTACATAGCTTTAATAGTTAACCGTTAATGAGCACTGACTGGTGCCACACTTTGTGCTAAGCGCTCTACACGTAGGATCTTATTAGATCCTCATATGAAATATTTCAAGGTAAATACCACCCAACTCCCCCCATTTTACAGATGAGGAAACTGGTTCAGAGAAGTGAATGGCTTAAGGTCAAATGGTTGGTGGTAGAGCCCATTGTCCACTCCCTCTAGAATCTGCAACCTTAATCACTTTATTGCCTCTAAGAGAGCCTCTCTGGGCTTGCTAAGCTTCACTAAGACTCAAGAAACTTCGGACTCTGAATATTTAGAAGGCATAAGATGAATAGTTAACTCTTGGTTAAGTGTTTTTTAAGAGACTGAAGCCAGGAAAGGGTCAGCTGGGGAACTACTGATGAAAAAAATGCTGCAGAGGGTTTCTCCAACCAGGCTGTGAATAACATGGGAAGACTCATGTGCCTAGAACTAGGCACTGGTGGGTAAGAACTATGGGGTGCCTGAGCTGGGACTGGCTTCTCATTTTGAAAGTCAAATAGGCATTTCTGCTGACCTAGCATATGACCTTCACTAAGACGGTTCTTTTCTCTGAGCAGCAGTTTGTAAAAGGGGGATGATAATAATAAAACCTAAAAGGGTGGTAGTGAGAATTAAATGAAATCTCATGGCTTTGAAAAATGCTTTAAAAAATCTGGTGAGGAATGGAAAAAAGACAGTCTCTTTAACAAATGGCATTGGGAAAACTAGACAGCAACATGCAAAAGAATGAAACTGGACCACTTTCTTACACCACACACAAAAATAAATTCAAAATGGATGAAAGACCTAAATGTGGGACAGGAAACCATCAAAATATAGAGGATAACATAGGCAGTAACCTCATTGACAATGGCCATAGCAAGTCTTACTAGCTATGTCTCCAGAGGCAAGGGAAACAAAAGCAAAAATAAACTATTGGGACCTCATCAAAATAAAAATCTGCACAGTGAAGGAAAAAATCAGCAAAACTAAAAGGCAACCTTTGGTATGGGAGAAGATATTTGCAAATGACATATCTGATAAAGGGTTAGTATCCAAAATATATAAAGAACTTAATAAAACTCAACACCCAAAAAATAAATAATCCAGTTTAAAAATGAGAAGACATCCAGATGGCTAACAGACACATGAAGAGATGCTTAATATCACTCATCATCAGGGAAATATAAATCAAAACTACAATGATATATCACCTCACACCTGTCAGAATGGCTAAAATTTACAACACAGGAAACAACAGATGTTGGCGAGGATGTGAAGAGAAGGGAACCCTCTTACGTTGTTGGTAGGAATGCAAACTGGTGCAGCCACTCTGGAAAACAGTATGGAGGTTCCTCAGAAAGTTGCACTACTAGGTATTTACCCAAAGGATATAAAAATAATGATTTGAAGGGATAAATGCCCCTGATGCTTATAGCAGCATTATCAATAATAGCCAAATTAT